TACTTTCCTAGATCCTTTCTGCATCTCTCCTCCCCAAAGTCCAGATACCACTTGATACCTATTGCCTTAGTACAGATTAGGGCATGACCACTCTCCCTCCCTTCTTCATCTCCGTGTGCAATCCCCAGCTCAGCAGCAGCTTGCTGCTTCCTCGTCAGGAAAAACAGGTTTGAGGGGGGAGGGGTAAGAATGGCAGGAAGTTATCAGAGTTTGTGGCCAAGATACGCGTGTAATGCCTCTTTAACACCCAAGGGAAAGCATTAAGTTCAATATATATGCAGGCAGATGGTGGGATGTAGAATTATGGGCAATATCATTTTGGAGTCATTAGTTTTAACCAAATAAAAACGTGAGTATCCAACCATTTTGACCTACAAAATGGTGATTTCTTAAGGTACCACCTATAGATGGTTGCCAAAGCAATAGCATTGAATCAGATCACCAATGATTGAATATAGGTAAGATGTAAAGTCCAGTGTATAAGTCCTGGAACAATCCATTGTTCAAATATCAGAAAGATGAAGAGGAAACCGGGAAGGAACACTAAGAAATGATAGAGTAGGGTAGGATAATAGGAAAATATGATATCTTGGAAGCCAATACAGGAAAGTATTTCAGGAAAGGAGAAGTAATCATGTGAATCAAGTTCTTTTGAGAGACCAAGTAAAATGAGAATTAAGAATTGACCATTGGATTTAGCATAAGTCACTGGGCACCTTGACTAGAGTTATTAGGATGGATTCAAGAGAAAATAGGAAAGGAATTGGAGACAGCAAGTATAGACATCTATTTCTAGATTACCTGTTTCTTAATGCCAGAAAAGGCTGCTATTTCAAACATGAATATGCATTATAAATAGTCAAAGAATTAAAATAGAATACAGAATAATCTATGTCTTTACTAGACAGAGTGAAATTCTGATAATTACCTTCTAATTTCCTCTTCATCAGCAGTTATGAATTCCTTAGCTGAGAAAGTTATGTCTTTGTGCTGAGCCTATCCAGGACCCACTGAAACTTGACTTTAACACTGTTCTGGCTGGGAAAGTCATTTCCATATATCAAGATGTTTAATATGAATTACAAAGATTGTCACTCTTTCAATTTTTTAAAGTGCACTTTTACAAAGTTATGACTTTAAGCAGAGTTCTTACTACCTGTGTTTCTCAAGAGGGTTGCTGGCTTTTCCCATAAGCCTGCTAAACACCTGCTTCTGTTTGCTATTCTCTGGAAAGACTTCTCTCTCTGGCTCTACATCTCCCTCTGGGAACTTATTATTGACCCCAAAACATGAACTCATGTCTTCAGACTTCAAGCACCATGCCCTTTCCCCTGTGAAGTACTGGCTTCTGATCCCTAATTTGCAATCTTTGGGAAGATAGCACCTGCAATTTAATTGATATGTTCTCCCATAGATTACTCTGCATGGCAGCCCTGCCTCCCCTCCGGAGTCCCCAAATAAATCCCGGCAGCTAGAAGGTCAAAATGGAATTTTTACAACCACAGGAAATCATGACTACTTAAAGCATCTCATCTTGGAAGAACCCTGGACTGAACCACCCCACATAGGTGTGGTTCACAGAATCTGTGACAAAACCGTGACCACTTGGGCTGATAAATCTAGGCTGTCAACAGTGGAATGTCCATGCCCATAAAGGACATATGTCATCAGTATCAGAGCTGTTTGTTTGCTTGGATTTTTTTAAAGGTCATTGTCTAAAGGGTAGCCCTCTGTGGGAAAGAATGCATGACAATTTTGTTGAATTTTTTAAGCCTGTGACATTTAGGCATTAAATGGTATTTGAAAGCCCTCTCTGCTTCTATCTCTATTTTTGCCCCTCCTCTCTTTCTGCTTCCCCCAGATACTTTATAGAGAAAAAAGAATATTTAAATAATATATGATTTTTTATTGTACAATATATTAAACTTTTTAAATTATTCAATAACCTTGAGGTTTAAAAGTACAGTTGGTAATTGTCCTTGAGGGCTCGTGGCTTTGTGACATGGCTGAAGGATGGTTCCAACTCAGCCCATTTACAGACATGGAGTGATGTGTCTCCCCTCACACCTGACACATGTCTCCCTCCAGGTGTGAGCTCTGCTCCATTCTGTGGGCACTGACTCCCCACCCCCCCACCCCGCCAGCTCCAGCACCATGCCGAAACAGGGAAGAAGCTGGACACAGCTTTCACCAGTGGCTGAGACAGTGACAGCAGCGGCATGGCAGATAAATCCCACTGTGGTTTCCAGACAGAATCCATGGGACTAGGAGGCACTGCAGTTGGTGATAAGAAGTCCAGTGACCTCTAGCACAGATGTCACTGCTTTGGTGCAACTCTAAAGTTCTGAGTGGAGGCCTCTGTCTCACCTGGGACACCAAGCTGATCCTGCCTCTGCAGGGCAGCTCAGGTCAAGCCCATTCTCTTCTGAAAAGTCACCTGGACACTCTCCAGGACTTGGTCTCATACCTGGTTAGTGCTCCTCAGAGGACTGCAGCAAGAACAGCAGCAAAGATGGCCTTAGCAAGGACAATGTGAAGACACCCAGGAATGACCCCTCATCCCACAGCACAAACCAGTATTATCCTCCTTGCAGCTATGAAGTACAACCTCTGGGAAACTGCACAAGCTAACTTGCAGAATAGAATTGCTTAGTATGAACCATGTGGTAGAGGTAGTACTTCTGCCAGTGTAACCGAGTATTTGTCGCTATTGTCATCGTCATCCTCCAACACATCACTGAGCGCTAACTCTATGCCAAGCACGATGGTTAATCTTGATTGTCAACTTGATTGGCTCGGAAATTAATAAAGCACACTTGCAAGTATGTCTGGGTGAGTCATGAGGCTGTGACCTTCGGGGCTAAATACGGTCCCTGGACCCTTATCTCTGACTCTTCTCCTGCTCTCTGCTTCTCAAATTTTACAAGTTGAGGGCCAGGGATTTAGCTCAGTGGTTTCACCACCTGCCTTGCAAGCACAAGGTCCTGAGTCTGATCCCTGGTACAAAAAAAAAAACCATTTTACTAGTTGAGCAACCTTTCATCCATGATCCCTTTCTGTTGTGATACCAGCAGACCATGGGCTGAAACCTCTGAAACCAGGAGTAAAAGTAAGTGCCACTTCCTTTAAGATTATATATATGTATATATCAAGTATTTTGTCCCAGCAATAGATAGGTGACTAATACACTCGGTATGTAAAGTTCAGTGTTTGCATGCAGTGTCTCATTGAATCCTATGACAAACACAAATGTTGCTTATAAGTATAATTGTCCTTCCTTTATGGAGAAGTAGTGCAGATCGGATATTGGGGCTGAGGAGCCCATTCCCCTTTACCCACCTGAGCCTGGGCAGCACCCTCAGGCCACTCCTCCTTAATCATTCCCCTGAACTCACTTGAGCTCAGCACCCTAGGACCATTCCTAGAGAACCTCAGACCAAAGCACATGTGGCCCTTTTCTTTTGTGCCCTTTTTGGGCCCTTCTTCCTCACTCTGGTCAGTACACCATTTGTCTGTTCATGATCTTCAATAAATGTAGTTGCTTTACTTTTGCCACCAGGTCTACACTTTGCAATTCTTTGCTTGCCAGACACAAGAGCTTGGACTTTCTGCAGGATCCATCACACAATAACAGAAGGACACTAAGACTCAGGAAGTGAGTCAATTAGAACATACTGGAGTGAGGATTTAAGCTTAGATTTCTTGGCCCCCAAGTCAATTTTTACAATTCTATCCAATAGTGCTTTAAACATAAAGAATATTATCAATATTATTCCACAATCTTCCTCAGATTTTTAATGCCCCTCCCTTGGGCACTTAGTAGAATATAAGGAAGAGCAGACAATCACTGCTTTGAGGAATGTTGTGCCATGGAAAGAGCTCAAACAGGATACATTTCCTAGCTCCAACCTTCCTTGCTAAAGGAGCATAGGTTAAGCTTAGTTCTATTTCTTCCTGTCCACTTTCTTATCTGTAGAATAAAACAACACCTGGCATCTGAGCTAAGACACTTTTTGTTGGGAAAGAAACAGAAGCTAATCCAAGTTTTCATCCAACAAGACTGTTTAGGTAAATAGTTAATGCTCTATAAACATGGTGTAAATGAATGAAAGAATATTTGAAGAAAGAGGGTAGGGGGCCAGAAGAATCCTGCAGCATTCCGTGATATCTAAGGGAAACATGAACGTCAAAGCCTCAGAAGAGGAGGAACTGTGGTCAGCTCTGGTCAACCCAGAAGGAAGAGGTCAAGATAAACAAGGGCAGCAACTGGGTCTACCAGACCCCACTCCACCTGTGCACACCTCTCCTACAAATCCTGATGATGCCAGGGGAGTAGCCTGGTGTGCAGGCTCATATGTGTGCAAGTGTGTATGTATGCAAGTGTGCACATTAGAGAAGTTGAGGCCTCATGCAGTAAGTTATATGAGATGTTAAAAGCTAAAGGAATAGAAGATAGAGCTTACTTTTCAAATTCCATTTCTACTCATGGTTCAAAACAAATACAACTGCTTAAGCCCCTTCTTAAAGTCAACTCCACAGGAGCCACAGGAGTGAGAAAGGGGAAACTAAAAACCACAAGAAACTGCATGGGGGTAAGTACTGTTTTGCATTTGTGGGAAGGGTGGAAGGAGATGCTGGCTTTGGCCCTGGTGGGAGGAGCCCCACACAACAGAATATAAAAGGCAGGGCAAATTCCAGGAATTCTGTTCTTCCTCCTTCCCAGACCAGTTGCAATCTGGGGAAAACCTATGGTGACACAAATCTCCCTGCCTGGTGTCCTTGAGAGTGAAACCAGAGCAAGGCAGAGTGCTTGTGAGGGGGTGAGCAGCAGATAGAGTAACTGGCTCTGTCTGACACTGCCTCTCCCATCCTGTCTGAGCTTCAGGGCTATGAAATCACAATCTATACAGTGTGACCTCCTAACACTGCCTCTCCTGGGTGGCAAAGGTTAAGACCTGAACTGAGAGTTGCTTGTTACCTCTTTTCTGATACCTGGGGTGCCCCACCCCTTAGTTCACCTCTTTCTACGCACTGAGCTCACTGGAATTGAAACAAATGGCATCCGGCCTCCACAGCAGCAGTTCCTGAAGGAGAAGGTAATATTCCCAAGGAAAATGAGCTCACAAACCAAAATAACATGACAATTGTGGAACAGACGTTTCAATAGAAAGGTCTTATCTTTTGGGTCCAGAGGCCAAGCTGCATGGAGAGCAGGATCTGAGGCTTTGTGGAAACAAGGAGAAAGGGGACTGATCCCATTACCCAGCAAGCAGCCGATGTCAGGTAAGTGAGTTTCTACTAGCTTAAGGTAACTTGCTTGACTTTCACCTCTATCCTTCAAAAGAGGACTTGTCACTACTATTTCACAAGTAAGAAGCCAAGGCTTAGATCGGTCCTATAATATGTTGCAGAACATCCAATTTACAACACAGACTTCAACTTAGACCTGGGCTGTCATATCAGAACATCCTGGTTTAAGTCACTTCCTGATTGTGTGAACTTGGCCAAGTCGCTTAATTCTCTGAACTCAATTTATTCTTCTGCAAAACACTGATGAATCGTCACTAACATCAGTTTATGATGAAGATACATGTGTTTAGGATAGTTTCTGATACATACATACTATGCAATAAACGTTGGTTGTTATTTTAATTAGTTTCAAATGGATGGTCCTTTTATCTATTCTGTTCTTTTGGTAAAATGTAATAATTCTCCTTTCCACTTGTTTAAGAAGCAACCAGTCGGAATTGTTACTTTTGCTTCTTAAATAGGAGAAGTCCAACCACATGATATAGAAAGGAAGAAATGACTGAGTTCTGAAATCAAACCCCAGTCTTCAGCAGAAGGCACAAAAGGAGAGAGAAGACATTTAATGAAAAAGGATTCCTCTAAGTGCCCAGAAAGAACACAGGGATTATCATAGAAAGGATCCTATCCCAAGACCTTATCTGACCCAGAAAAAAAATCACAAGCAAATATTGAAATATTAAATATTGGGTGTGCTTTCTTAACTAAGTGAACATCAATGCAATGGAGTATTATGAAACTCTCAAAACTTAGGTGTACAAAGGCATTAAACATTCACACACGGAAGAGCATTTGTAAAATGCTTAAACACAAAATGCACAGTACAAAAGTGAGTAAACCATGATGCAATTATAGGAAAATATGATCATCTGTGAGCATGTAAAGACAAAGATAAGAAGAGACAGTGACGTGTACTACTGTTCAGAGAATGTGGGTAATCTTTGAAACTTCCTTGAAGTTATAGTTCTTTCAATAGAAACGAAAAGTATTGAGGAATGGAAGCATGCTGTACATTTATATAAAAAAATCACAACAATGCAAATCTGATATTTTCCTTCTGCAGAAAATTAACCTAAAAAAATTCTTACAAAGATGTATCATACCTATATAAAAATACAAAAGCCATCTACACACACATACATCCTCCCAGAAGGACAAGTGGATCCCTGAATTTCACTGGAATGAGAAGCCCTTGTTCATCAAGAACCGCAGAATGACTGACAGGGGCGAGGACTTTGCAACAAGTTTCATGCAGGAATCCCCACGTTGTTCCCAAAGTAGACAGCGTCCTTGCCCTTTGCAGAGGAAGATGTAAGACTCAGAGGTGTGAAGTGACTCCCGAATATTACACAGCTGGTGGGTGTGGCTTCCACCTCACCACTGTCTGATAGGCACCACTGATAGGCACAATCAAGTAGAAGATCAGTGGCTTTGGAGGTCTTTCTCCTTCAGCCTCATGCCCCACCTTTATAAGCATCCTCGGCAAGGCGCCCACCTCCTCCTCACCCCAGGGGTGTGGCCTCCTGTCCTTCCCCCGCTGGGGCCTGCACGGTCTCCTTCCTGTACCTCAGAAGGTGGCACTGTTACCTCAGCAGGCAGCCATGCTTAGCAAAAGAGGGCAAAGTCCAGAATTCCCATGTCTCCCCTGAATACTCCTTTGTGACACAGACACCCTGAGACAGCACAGCCGTGTCCTACCAAATGCTGGCAGTTGGAGATCTGTGTCGTGAGTGGGGGAAATGTCACTCGAGCCACAGGCTGCTGTCTCTGAATGAAACTGACCAAAGCTGTGAATGGAAATTCTTAAGGAAGAAGTATGATAGTAGCTGAGAAGATATCAGGAATAAACCTGGCAGAAGGGGTGTCTTCCTTGGTAGCAAACTCTGGCCTGTCCCAGGACCTGGCACATAGTATTGTCAAATGAAGATCTGAATATTTGTTAAATGAATGGGTGGGTGATGATTAGCCTGTGAATGCACACAACTTTGGTTTGGTAGTAACATGAGCATTTTAAAATCAGCACACACCACACTGGATGCATTATCTCCTTTCCCTCCCCTCAGCACCTCTCCTCCTCCTCCATCCCCTCCCTTGGGTGACGAAAGCTGGTCCACTAGTTACCCAACCAGTACTCACTGTCACCCTTGACTTCTTTCTATCCCTCTGGCCCATCTCATCGGTCACCAAGCCCCAGAGATTCTCAAAATTAACTATCATTAAATCCCTCTGCCTCTTAACCAAGGTGGAGTGATCAGGGTGGTAAACTCAGTAGTCAAACTGCCTGAACAGTTTTGTGCCAGTTTTATGCCCTTTGGTAAATCACTTGGCCTCTGGGGTCCTCAGTTTCTTTAATTGTAAAATGGGAAAATTAATGGCATAGATTGAGTATCTTTTATCTGAAAGGCCTGGGACCAGAAGCATTTCAGATTTGGCGGGGGGGGTGAATATGTGAATATTTAAATATGTATATTTATATATACATGTATGCATATAGATAGAGAGAGAGAATGTCATCCAAGTCTAAACACAAAATTCAGTAATGTTTCATCTTCACCTTATCCAAAATAGTGATTGTATACAATACTTTTAAGGTGCCTGTGTCTTGACTGAGACCCATCATAAGAGGTCAAGTGTGGAATTTTCCATTTGGGTTGTCATGTTAGTGCTCAAAAGGTTTTGGGTTCTGGATTTTTAGCTAAGGGATGCACAGCCTGTACCTGCCTCAGAGGATAATTATGAGAATGTAGTGGGAAAAAAGATCATCTTCCATCTGACTTAATACACAATCCCATTTACCAGCTTCTTCCCTGCTCCAGGTCCTGACAACTTCCTCCTGGAGCAGTCAGAGACCCCATCTGGAATTCAAGTCTATTCTGTCACTCATGATGTCTGGAGACAAGAGCCAGTTGTATGGAGTCATAGGATCCTAAAAGTAGATTCATGTGTGGCCATTAAACCAGTTGTTATTTAGATTTTCTCTCTCCCTTGTTTTCTCATCTTAAAACACCCTAGGCAGGGTTGTATGTTGAGGATTAAATCTGATCATATATGTGACAGTCCCAACCCAAGGACCTGGCATGTTTTGGGCACCGGCAATCTAAGCTCTTTGCTAAGCAGGTAAAGGGCCAGGAAGATGTAGGATGAAGTTGGGGTCAAGCCCTGGATGTGGGGTCCAACTTAGTGGAGAAAGGAAGATGGGCCTGGAAGAGGGCTATGAAAATTAGGCCCGCGGCCCACCATGGGAGTCCATCTGGGTTCATCAGGAGGCACTGGCCACTGTACATACTGCAGGGTCCCTGGCAGCCATCACCTGGACCACCGCAGTGCTAGCTCCTCACAGCACTCCCTAGCCCCTACACACATGGCCTGGGCATGACCCACAAGCAGCATCTCAACAGGTGTCCTAGGAGACCCCACTGTGTAACCGGTTTGGGGAGCCCCTGCTCAGAGAATTTGCCTTTGCCTAATCAATGCTCCAGCAGCCTCCTAGGACTGAAGCTATTCCCTGGCCATCTTCTTTGCAGAGAAAAAGTGGCCAAAATTGGTTTCAAATGGGAAGATTTACACTAATTACAAAAAATAAAGTCTGGAAGTTTTGAAAATCCAAAAGGAGAAAATATCCAAGAATGCAGGCTTTGTGCTTCTAGCTGTTGAGCTCTCAGTACATGATTGGAAAGCAAGACAGACATGGTCAGTTCTGGCCTGGGGCTGGGATGGTTCTAGGATCAGTTTGAATAGCAGGTGATCTTTTTGCTGGTCCAGAAAAACAACTTTTGTCAGGTGTCTGATGTCACTCCTCCTTTAGTTCCAAGCAAAATGACATTCGGGGAGAAAATTGATGCCTGAACTGGAATCATGATGCTTAGAAGCTGTGAAAGGGTTTTTCTTGGTGGAGAGGATTGCCTAGAGCCCTACAGTTACTATTCTTCAGCTAACATGGAGCCTTAGCGGGCACCAAAGGTCAAGGTTTAGGAGAACATTATGTTGCAGAAAGGTGCGAAGGCCTCCCAAGGACTGAAAGGTATAGGCACCGTATGAGGTGCAATTGAAACAGGGAGACAGACTTTGTAAAGATGAGAAGGGGATATAGGAAGAGGGAGACCGAAAGTGAAAAGAATCAAGATGCAATATGTGTATGTACCAATACCGCACAATGAAAATGTTTATTGTGTACCACAAACACATAAAAGTTATATGTAAACTAATAAAAATTATACGTCAATTTTAAAAATAAAGTAGGCAATAAATAATTTTTTAAAGCACAGTAAAAGACGCATTGCCATTCATCCCCCTCAATACATTCCTTCTCACTTCAAACACACTTCTCTCGTTGTTCTTGCCACTTCCTGAAACAGTTCTGGAAGTCCTCTTGTTGTGAGTGTTTTTAGTCACGCCTTCATAGCACTGTTTGATTCAAAATATTTGCCTTTTGTGGTCATTTTGACCTTGGAGAAAAGCCAGAGTCGCATGGTGCCAGATGCAGTGAATAAGATGAATGAGGAGACGCCGTAACGTTTGCACAGACCTGCCTTTATGTGGGATGGCACTCAGCAGCACTCACAGTAGTTTTTAACTGCTTCAGAAAATAGCAAAAGTGATGAGGTGAGTGTATTCAAAGCAAAGGGGAATGTCTTGAGTATTTTGAGGGGATTAATGATAATGTGTCTTTTACTATAAAACATTTAAAAATATTCAAACATTCAACAGTTTTGATCACCCATTTTATACACACACAAATAAACAAATATATATACACATGCATATATACATAAATATATATGTAATTGTATATGCACTTTGTACACATGAATGGGAAGATACGTATATAATACACATACATGTTCATATTCATATATATTTATATGCACATGCATGTATCTATAATCTACTTATGTTTATGTATGTGTAGGTAGATAGATAATTGACGATAGATAGATCTTCTAACATTAGGTTTCATTATCAGTCTCATTTTACAGTTAGGGAAACTGAGGCTCAGAAAAGTTAAATAATTGGCCAAGGTCACAAGGCTGGCATTGGTTCCAAATGCTGATGACCCTACATCCATGTTTTTTACACCACATTCTTTCCTAAACACAAAACACAAACATGTAGAGATGATACGTCTTGCTCCCTGAAACATGTCTTATAAATTCTGTGTACAGTGACCACAAGAATCTCCAAAATGTATATTGGCAAGCTCTAGGCAGAGCCATGTGGCCCAAGTGTAAGAGGACAAGACCAGAAAGCCAGCTCCCAAGTAAGCTGCTTGATGAGTCCAACCCTTACTGTCCTAGCCTGCCTCTATTGTCCCCTGCTATGAGGGTCATATAGCCTCTAACAGACCTTGTACACTCCTGAGCATGGCCTTGGGAGGAAGTGTTCTGGACTCAGGCATATGGAACAATAATTTCCTTTTAGTTTCCACTGTAATGTTGAACATTACAAATTGCCTCCTCATAGACTAAGTAATGCATGTCTCTCCAAAGATTATTGAGCAGAAAATCTGTTATTACAATATCCGGTGGTCTATTACACCCTGTAATAATCTTAACCAC